TCGAAACCCACGCGGAGGGCAGGGGCTTAAGGAGGAGTCCCCGAGGGGCAGAGCGGGGAAAGATCTGTTTCCACGCGGGGCCCTGAAACCCGGGGTCCGGGCGAGCCGGGAGGAACCGGACGCGGCGGCGCTTCGCTTTGCATGACAATGCGCCGCTTTGCACAACCGACGCCGACGGGTATTTAAAGGCGTCGCTGCGGCCCCGCGCCTCGTAGCTACTTTCGCGCACACCCGCCTTTTGCAAAGATGCCCCTGATGCGGGCTGCGCTCCTGCTCGCCCTGGGCTTGCTTCTCGCTGGCCCCGAGGCCCTTGCAAAGGTCTTGATGAAACAGGTGAGTGCCGCTCTTTTAGGAGGCTGGCTGGGGTGGGAGATGGGGATAGCTAGTCCCGTCCCTGGAATTCCTCCTCGGCAGCAGAGCCTCCCAGAGGCACTACCTGTGGGACTTTGAGTGGGTCCTTCTCTTTCTAAGGGGTTGTTTCCCTCGTGGGAGAAGAAGCAGTTTTCCTCTCTGCCCTTCTAGGTTCTGTCTGCAGGTCTTAATAATCAGGTCAACGTGAGACAGATTAACAAGAGAAAATAGCCAAATTTAACAGCATACTTATATATGTAGGAAACATGCCAAAGTGCACATCTTGGGGATGCCTGTTTTGAATCCCTTCACCCATCTGCACAGTGAGGGTGGTCTGTAAGGCCTTCCTCAGCTCCAGACTTCTGAAGGCTTAACCTCACTCATGTACTCTCCTGCCCTCTTTCCAACCGTGTGAGTGAAATTTTTGTAGAACTGCAAGACTAAGGCACTGCTCCCAGGCCCAGAGACTCAGCCCTGTTTACCTGCCCCCCCCCTTCCCCCGTAAGAAGGCCTGGCACCAATCCCCTCTCCTCTGTATTGCTCTGTCGCTGGGCTTGTCCTGATGGGTGGGTAGTTTGAGAGACTCTCCAAGCCAGAAGGTCCAGACTTGTTCCTCTGGTGACAAAGGTCCAGCCCTGCTCCTGGTTGTGAGCCATGGAGAGGCACTGACCTCTGAGCTTGCCCTTTCCTTCTCACTCACCCCCAAGCTCCAGATCCTTGGCAAAGGGAAGCTCTGTCATTCTGAGACCTAGAGAAGCCCAGTTTCATTGCCTCTTTGCTGCATAGCTGCAAGCAAAACACTATTTCTGGCAGCAAAGAGAGAGGCCCAGCATAGATCCCCTCCTTCCAGCCACCTTGGAAATGCTAGAGAGTCAGAAACAGTGTGGTGTAGGGCAAAGTGGGATATGACTGAGAGCTGGGACGCTTGGCTTTTGATCGTATCTCTGTCTCTAATCCATGGGCATGGCCTTTGTGCTCCTTGAGACTTAGTTTCTTCATCTGTAAAATGGGCTTGATGCCATCCTGCCTTTCTTGTGGATTGTGGGTGAAGGAAATTTTCTAAAACAGTTATTTTCAACCTTGTTTGTCTCATGGCATACACAAACTAATTACTAAAATTCTGCGGTGCACCAAAATATATATTATATTATCTGCCTGTCTGACAAAAAAGAAAAAGGTATAATTTTGATTCATTTACACGGAACAGCTATTGTGTTGGCTGTTGGCATTTTTTAAAAATTTGACAATCTAAGGGAAAAGAGGTGACTGCCCCTGACTGAATAGTCAGGTAGTGCATGTTTTAAAAATTCTTGCGGCACACCGGTTGAAAATCGCTGCTCTGAAGTCTTGCAGTGATATAAGCCGTTGGACTCAGCCTCACCCTGCCACAGGGGCAAGGAGTCTGCTTTTGTCTATTGAATGAAGGAGCTGGGATCTCTGGGCTTATTCTTCCAGAGGGTTCACAGTTTGTCCATGGGTATAGGTTGATAATGTTTTTCTTGGCTCATGGTCTGACCGCTATGAGGTGGAGCTCGGCTAAGGCTCGAGCCTGCCCTACATCTCCTTTCTATATGTCTTGGCTATGGATGCCATTCCAGGCCATTCCAGAGGGTCTTAGATTGGCAGTTTTGGAGAGGCCTTGAGACATCACAGAGTTCACCCACCTCGCTCAGGCCCACAGAGGACAGAGGACTCACCCAAGATTACATAGCAAGTGGCACTTTTGGTCCTTATCTGCCATCGCCCAGGACTTCTCTGGGCTCATGTGACTCAAAGCTCTGACCCTGATATCACAGGCCAGATGAAAGCTGTGGGGAAGTGGTGAGTGTTTGAGCATCCAGAATATGTTAAGTGATGTGCTTTTCCCCCCCAATAAACTTTTTTTGGGGAAATAATTTTAGATTTACAGAGAAGTTACACAGATAGAACAGAGATCCCACAGACTCCTCACTCAGTTTTCCATAATGTTAACATCTTATCGACCATGGTTCCCTTGTCAAAACCGAGATGCCAACATTGCTACATTATCATTAACAAAACACTAGACTTTTTATTTGGATTTCACCAGTTTTTTTCATGAATGGCCTCTTTGTGTTTCAGGCTTCATTCCAGTTACCTCTTTGCATTTGTTGTCCATCTCCCCAGCCTCCTCTGGTCTGTGATACTTTTTCAGCCTCGTGTTTTCATGGGCTTCACAGTTTTCAAGAGCTGTGACCTGTACTCTCTGTATACAAACTTCTCCCCCTCCCAGTAGCCCTGTGAGAAGATATAATTATGCCCGTTTGATAGGTGAGGAAATTGCCATGGTCTCAGCCAGGGAGAGTGGCTGAGGTCTGATTTGAACCCAGATCTGTGATTTGTACCCACATTTTTGCCTCCAGAGCTGTGCCTTTCCCCTCTGCCTTATGTTGCCCCATGTTGTCTCTTCCCGCATGTTGGGATGGCACATATCTGGTGCCAGGCCTGGCCCTTGTTGGGCATTGCTAATCCATCACACCTCCTTTTTCAGACGAGGCTGGACTCAGCTGCAGAATTCATTGCCACAGAAGCCTCTAGTCAGGCATCTGGAAACCACCTTGTTACGTCTCCCTGAGGGCCTGGGGGAAAGGTCACTTAGGGGAGGGGAGAGGATTCTTTGGCTCCAACAGGGCACTGTGGACACTTCCTCCAGCCTGGGCTGCCTTAGAATCTGTGAAAGCAGCCCCTGAAAACGGCTAGTCCTCCTGCATACCCTCCAGCCCAACTCTTAATTCCAGGCTCTCTTTATTAGACAGTGGCCTCCTAACTGGTCTCCCCACTTCCACCTTGTTCCAAGCTGTTTTCAACCATAAACCAGAGCATCGCCCTCTCTTGCAATGGTGTCCATTGCACTTATAGAAAATCCAACCTTCTGATTATGACCTGCATGATCCTGCCTGAAATGACCCTGCCACCCCTTTGACCTTGTCTGAGTCCCTTGTCCACCGCATCTAGCCCACTGGCTTGCTTGTAGTGCCAGAGCAGCTACCACACGGCCTTTGCACATGTTCCCTCTGCCTGGGCATTTTTTCTCTCTATTTACATGGCTGACTCCTCCTTCTGCAGGAGTCCAGCTTAAGTAGCAAGTCCTTTGTTACTCTCAACCCTACCTTTTGTTTCTCTATGGCACTCAGAAATCATAGGGGGTAATCTGCACATTAGATTAGGCTCCTGAAGACAGGGCAGGAACATTTCTAATTGTTTACCACTATTGACACAGCACTTAGCCCAGGGTCTGTGATCATTGCTGCATACAGGTTTATGGAATGGTTCCTACCCTGTGTAAGGGACTGGGGAATACAGGGATGAGTCAGACTCTGTCCTGCCTTTCTTAGCCATGGCACAATGTTTCATCCCAAGGGACAGAAGCTCATTCCAAGAAGCTAAAGTCAAGGTGTTTATTCCAGGTGTATAAGGAATCTCTTGGAACTAGAGGCAGGATGTGGAGGCTGGGATGGCTAATGGCTGGCATTTAGTGAGCCAGCTCATGCTTTGGGCATGGCATTGTGTAACGAGCTTTACATACATGCTCTCACCCTTGCCACAGCCCTGAGAGGAAGGTATAAATGCCTCCACTTAAAAGATATGGAAATTGGGGCACCAAAGAGGAAACTGGCTTATATAATCACATGATAGGGTGGCTGAACTATGATTCCCACCCATGTCTGTTGACTAAAGCCTTGATTGACCCCACATCTCACTCCAAAGCCATGCCTTTCACTGCCTATTTAGATGGGGGGGGGGTTAGGCAACTCCATCTGTTCTCTTTTCAACAGACCCTTAGTTCTTCCCCTTTGTCTCAGTCATGAGTCATGGGTCATGGGTCTCGGAGTTCTGGCCCCATCCCAAAACTATGGCCCAGTAACAATGCAAAGCCCAAAGTCCTGTGAGTGACTTTGCCTCCATCTCAATTCCCACATCAGAGGCAGAGAGAACCTGTCACCCAACCAGATTGGGTTAGGTGTTCCTTTCCGTCCCAGTCAGCTGTGGGTGTGTGGATGATGGGGATCAGCTTGGGGGTGTGGGACCCGGAGGTTGTCCTTCTAAGTTGGGATGTGCACAGTAGGCATATTGTAAGTTCCTCAGAGGAGGCCGAGCGGGTGGGCAGAGTCTGCCTGATGTAGGAAGTTCGCAAGATCACAGACCAGCAGGGTTCTGTGGGAGCGGGGAGTCACTGGTCAGGTGTAGTTGGACGAGATGGTGGCATCAGGAGACCTCTGGGGGATGTGAAGGAAGACAGGTGGCTCAGCAGAGGGGAGGAGGGTGACTCAGATGGGGACAGGGTGTGAGCAATGGGAGGGGAGTAAGGAAGCACCGGCTAGGATTGGGGAACTTCATTCATTCAGTGGGGGTTATCAACAGTGGTCGCTGGGGATCTTTTCACGTGTGTCCTATTTTCTTCCTGGGTTAATTGCACGCCCCTTGAGGATGGGGTTTTGGATGTTATGTTTCCCACTGTGTTTTGTGTTTCCTTTTGTCCCTGGCCCTGGATTGGGGTGGGGGAGAGGTGGGGGATGGGAATAAGGTCCTGGGCATGGGCTGCCAAGGGAAATCCTTGGGGGGAAATCCAAGACTGGCAGGAGAGGAGTGGGGAGCAGGGAGGTGGGAGATCAGAGGAGGCAAACATGGCTAGTCTCCTGTTTTCAGTGTTTGAGTATCCATGCTCTGAGGTCCAGGTCCTCCTCTAGCGTGAGCCAGTTCAAGGTCTGGCGTAATGTGCTTTATAGTTTAGCACATTTATAGTTTGTCTTTTTAGTCTTTTACTTCAGTCCTGCCTATGAAATGGGTAGGACAGGCGTTATCCCAGGTTTACAGATGTGCTCAGAGAGGAGAGTGACCTTACCCATGGCCACACCGTCGGTAGCCTGTTCTGTTTGTTCTTCTGACTCGTGAGTGTTCCTTTGTCAGCTTTTCTTTCCTTGCTGCCATGATTGTCCCTAGGCATTCCGGATCAGTAACTTTTCCTGGGAGAACTGTGACGACGGGAAGGACCCTGTGCTGATCAAAAGCCTGAATGTGGAACCTAACCCCATTGTCAATCCTGGGAATGTGACTGTGAGTGCCGAGACCCAGACGAGTGTCCCTCTCAATGCTCCTCTGAAGGTGAGCCTGAGGGTGGGAGGGATTGGTCAGGAGCTGGAGGGAAGGTGCCATGGGCCAGCTGACAGGGCCCTGAGGGGCATATGCTCAGGGAACGGAATACTGGAGCCCAGGCATCCCAGAGCAGCGAAGGAGGCGTGGATTTGGAGACTCGTACTCAGGTTCCTGGACTCTCGGCATCATGATGTCGGAGATTGGAAGGACTCTGATGTCAGCCCCAACAGCTTCCTGCTGAGGGCACGGGTGGCTGGTTTCCTCACACCTGGCAGGGAGTGCTCAGCCTCCCCGACAGGCTGGCGCAGTGCTCTCTGCTGTCTGACAGCTCTGGTTGGGCAATTTGGTTTTGATAGTGGTGTCATTATTAATTACAAAACAGCCACATCAATTAGCAAGTGATTTGTAGTCAACTTTGGAAAATATAAGTGGTCAAAATAGGGGGAAAAAGAAAAGAAATCACCTGAAATCTCTACCTCATGATAAGAGAGGTAAACACTTTTAACATTTTGGAACATTCCCCATACAATCACATATAACATACATGTTAATTTTAATGGCTATATGAAAATAAGCAGTGCTGCTTGTAAGTGTCCTCCTATAATCCAACTCCTTAGAAGGTAGTCAGTTAGCTATTTATATATCCTGTCAGAATTTCTGTCTGCATTTGTAAGTATATATATACATTTATACTAGTGGGATTATATGACATGTGCTATTAAACTTGGATTTTTTATTTTTTTTTGCTTCAGACTATATATTCTATGCCTCTTTCTGTGGCATTTGGCATAGATCTGCCTAATCATTTTTAATGGCAGAAATATTCTGGTATAGATCTGTCATAATTTACTTAACAAATCTAATGTCAGATATTTAGTTTCCAGGGTAGTTTTTTGTTTTGTTTTGGTTTTGGCTATTATAAAGACCTTTGCAGAAATTATTCTTGAAATGCATCTTTTTTTTACTTTCTGATTATCTAGACACAGACTTTTTAGGTCTGTGGATACATATTGCCAAAGTGCCTCTCCAAGTGTTTGAGCCCATTTGTCCTCTAACTGACAACAACAGATTTGGCTTTTCCCACACATTTGTTAACACTGAGCATTTTGTAAAAATCCTTTCAGTCTTATAATGTCATCCCTGATGAGGTTAAATTTCCTTTCATAATTTTATTTGCCTTTTGTAGTTACTCTGGAAAAGTCTAGGAAGCAATGCTACAGTTAGCCAATTAGCAGTTAGGCAACAAATGTATTTCAACTCAAGTGTTAGCTTCAACGAATGGTGATGACTACCTAAAGAATTCTGAGACTGTGAGATTCAGTGATGGGGAAAATCACATTTAATTATTCATGTCCATCATGGGCACAGGAAAAAATATCTCCAACGTCCCAGCCAATTAAAAACTGTGTGATTGAAAGAAATGCTGACCTTTTAAAGAGACAGAGGAACTACCATGTTTGCCTTGGAAATGACACTTTTTCAAACTCTTCACTAGGCGGAACTAACTGTGCAGAAGGAAATGGCTGGCTTCTGGGTCAAAGTCCCATGTGTGGAACAAGTCGGTAGCTGTACCTACGAAGACATCTGTAACGTATTTGACATTTTCCTCCCCCCTGGAGAGCCCTGCCCAGAGCCCCTGCACACCTATGGGCTTCCCTGCCACTGTCCTTTCAAACAAGTAAGTACTCAGGGAGGGAAAGCATTATCCCCATGGCTGCAGAAAAGACATGGGGTTTAGAGAGAAGGATCCTTGCCTTGTCTTCTTGCAGATCTGGATGTCTGTGGGTGGATGTAAATTGGTGTGATCTATCCCGAATTGNTCTTCTTGCAGATCTGGATGTCTGTGGGTGGATGTAAATTGGTGTGATCTTTCCCGAATTGCTTATCTTTTGGGGACCTCAGTTTATCCATCTGTGAAATGGGCAAGTTGCACTTTGGGGTGACCTTCAGTGCTCTACAGTGCTATGGTAATCTCTAATCTCCTGTGGCTCTTAGAATGGGAGGAATGATAGTTCCTGGCTGCAATCCTAGAGGTGGCTCCAGGAGAGAGTCCCATGAGTAGGCTCCCACTGACCTGTGATCCACTGGCTTTTCCACAGGGCAAATACTCACTGCCCAAGAGTGTTTTCACCCTACCCCGCCTGGACCTGCCCGGCTGGCTCAGTACCGGAAACTACCGCATCCAGAACATCCTAAGCAACAGCGAGAAACGTCTGGGCTGTTTCAAGATCAATGTCTCTCTAGAGAACATTAATATGGCACCAGCTAGAGCAGAATGAAGGGGTGTGAGGAAGGTGTCCCTCTTCCTCTGTCTTGTGTTTGTCAAAGCCAAATTCCGATTTTCTGTCCCCCTTCAAGCCCCTTTCCACAATGATCCTACTACCCTTGCTGCAAATAATTTTGTGCCACTTATATTTTAGGTGTGGGCAGGCAGCCCTAACCTAAGGTAGGGTGAGTCTGGTGGTTCTTGATGGCTCAGGACATCTACTGGGCCGGCCACTTCATCTTCCTCCTCACCCCTGCGACTTTCTCTCTAACACTTAACTTATTTTCCAAACAGTCCTGGAACAGGACGAACATGTTTTGGGACCCCCAAGTTCAGACGGACCCAGTCTTGCTCTCCTGAAGTACCTTTAATGATTTTCTCATTAAATTGTTTTTTTGTCACTAACATAAAAGCAGAGTGAAAGTATTAAGTTTTCATTTTACTCCAACCCCTTTGTACAATGAACGGCCTGAAGTAGTAGAGCTCCATCTGTTCCTCCATCAACATCTATGATTAGTTTGGGCAGTCTTTTCTAGATTTTTCCAATTGACAGTGGGGCATTGTGTATCCTGGAGAGGCAGTGTGTTGGGGGCCTGGAGGGCTTCCTTGGGAGAGAGATTTAAGAATGCTCCTTGTATTTAAGATAGTTTACAAGCTCAGGCGCCGCTGCCTGCAGGGCCAAGCACGAGACACAAGTGAGGGATGAAGATCCCAAGGGGCACACGTGTCTTCCCTTTTTCCTCTACAACAGCACACACACATTGTGAGGCAGCCGGTGCCTGGGCTTGAGATGGGGGTATAGTCAGGGATGACGGTGACTGGGGTGAGTTGGAATGGGCACGACTTTTTGTAGGGCCCCTGCTGTCTAGACATAGCCAGTTAGTGCCACATGAGAATGTTGTGGGCCCAGTTTGCCAAATATTTTCAATTTTTTTTTCCCCTTAGAGAAGCAGGCAATCCAGACTTTTATAGGAAATCTTACATCGTTTAAATATTGGCAAGTAATTATTTTTTAAAACACTGTACAGGGGCCAAACAGACTTGTCAGTGGGGAAATTTGGCTCAGGGTGGCCAATTTGCAACCTCTGATGTAAGAACATGCATGCTTTGCCCTTCTAGTCTTGAGACAATTCCTCTGGCCCTGGTTTTCCCTCCAGAGGGCCAGATCTGTAGTGTCGGACCCAAGAAGTAGGACCTTCCAGTACTGGGAGGTCGAGGCAGCCTCTCAGAGCTGTGAGTGCCGTCAGGGTGAATGTGGCGGGTAGATGCTGAAGAGTTGGTCCCACCAGCAACTGCTCTGGCGCAGGGACCCAATGAAGACGGGGACCCATGTCAGGTGCCTGGGTTTATTCATCATCCTGAATTCTGGGCTCATTTGAAGCCCGGAATTGGCAATATAGTTGTGCGCCACTTAATGATGAGGATCCGTTCTGAGAAATGTGTCATTAGGCAATTTTGTCATTGTGCGGAGATCGTAGAGTATCTTAACACAGCCCTGGAAGGTAAGGCCTCCTGCACAGCCGGGCTGAATGGTACAGCCTATTGCTCCTAGCTGCAGGCCTGTACAGCGTGTTACTGTACTGAGTGCCGCAGGCAGTTGTAATGCGGTGGCAAGTATTTGTATATCTAAACAGAAAAGGTACTGTAAAAATACTCGTGTTTCTGGGAATGCCTTGCACTGGACCTTACAGTGGCTATGACATTACCAGGCAATAGGAATTTCAGCTCCATTATAATCTTCCTGGGCCAACTTTGTGCATGTGGCCCGTCACTGACAGAAACGACATTTCATGGCGCATGACTGAAAGTCTTTTTAACTAGCTGAGAGTTCCTCTTTTGTATCGGCTGTATATTTTTGGATTGATCACATCCCAGGATTTCAGGAGCGTTTGGGGTGGGCTGTTCCTGTTGGAAGGCTTTGCTGCCGTGGCTCAGACACGCCCAGGCGATTCCAGGCACTGACTCTGATTCCTTCTCATGAGTTGCTTGGTATTTCTGCTTTAATCGGGCCTCATCACCATCTAGCTTCCTTGGTCTGCTCCTTTGCTTTCCCATTGCAACGTGACCTCCCCAGCCTCTGTTCCCCTCCTGGATCTCCTGGCCTTCTCACAGTCATTTATTAGTTCACACCCTTGAATGGAATCTCTGGCTCAGTCTTTTTATGCCATGCTATGCTCTTGGGTCAGATGTTCCTCCAGGTCTCAGGGGAAGGGAGTGAAAAATCTCAAATTCTAGGGCGAAGTAGGCTTTTTAAATAAATGGTGCTGAGTCAACTGGAAAGTCATTTGGAAAAAATTGAAATTGGATCCATACTTCACATCATATGCAAGAATAAACTCCAAATGGATCCAGGGCCTAAATGTAAAAACAAAATGAAACCATACAAATACTAAAAGAAAACATGGGTGAACATCCAGAGCCAATAAAAGAATGGCACATTTGGCTATATAAAAATTTTTAAAAAGCCTCTCAAGAAAATACTTGCTGCATATATCATAGGCAAAGGGTTAATATTCCTATGCTCAGTCTCACCCATGATTAGAGAAATGAAATGTGAAGCAATGCTGAAATAACATCACTTCTCAGACTGGTGAAACTAAAAAGCACAATGCTACCTTGTGCCAGGCACGGCTACAGGGAAACGCACTCTCATACATAGCTGGTGGGAATGCAAAATGGTATATAACCCTTCCTGAGGAGGATTTGTCAGTACCTAACAAAATGTCCAAAGTGCTCACCCTTTCACCCAACCATTCCACTCCTGGGAATTTCCTCTGAAAGTATACCTCCAACAATACAAAAATACACAAGATTATTCATAGCCGCACTGAGGGAGAGGATCAGAAACGATGTAAATGTCCATCTGTAAGAGAGCAACTGAATGAACCAGGGCATAACCACATGGAGTGCTATTTAGCTATAAAAAAGAATGAAGATCTCTGAATCTAAAGTTATTTCCAGGATATACTGTTAAGTGCAAAAGTTTGCAGAGTGCAAAAACGGGCTACTTTGCATGTAAGAAAGCAGAAGGGCTTAAGAAAATATACATGTATCTGCTCATTTGTACAAAGTAAGGAAAGATGAGGCAGAAACTAATGAGATTCGTTATTTACAGAGGGAGGTAAGAATATAGTGGGAAGAAAGGGGAAATGATAACAGGGTCTAAAGGATGGGGGGTAGGACACTTCTGAGTATACCTCATTGTATAACTGAGTCTTAGACCCATAATAATGTTCCTCATATACAAAATAGGATTAAAATCAACCAGGAGATGAGGGGAATTCAATGTGGAGTACAAACAGTAACAGAAAAGCTAACTGTATTCCAAATGAGTAATACAATAAGTTCCAGGATTTTGATGGAATACTATAAAGCTAAAGACAAAAGAACTGCACACAAGTACATTGCTTTTGGTGGTGTATCTAAGAAGTCTTTGCCTAACCCACGGTCAAAATTTTTCTACTATGTTTTCTTCTAAAAGTTTTATAGTTTTAGGTTCCCGTTGGATTGATTTTTTTAAAAATATGATGTAAAGTATGGATCTGATTTTTTTTCCCCATATGCATATCAAACTTTTGCAGGACCATTTCTTGAAAATGTGATCCTTTCTCCACTACTTTGCCTCTGTAACTTTGTCAAAAACCAGTTGCCCACATATGGGCAAAGTTTATTTCTGGACTCTGTGCTGGTCCATTGATCTATTTGTCTATCTTGGCACCAACACTATGCAGTTTTGATTACTGTAGCTTTGTTAGAATTCAGAGTCAGAGAGTGTTAGTGTCTTCCAACTTTGTTCTTCTTTTTCCAAGATATCTTGGCTACTCTAGGTCCTTTGCCTTTCCACGTGAATTTTAAAATCAGCTGGTCAATTTATAAAAAAAGAAAGCCGATGAATTTGGTAAAATGTCACTTCTACCATAATGAGTCTTCTGAGCCATGAACAAGGTGTATCTCTCCATTTACTTAGGTCTTAATTTCTTCTAGCAATTTCTGAATGGTGTCCACTAGTATAGAGAAACACAACTGTACTTAGTATATAGAACTCTTGTCCTGAGGCTCTGTAAGCTCAATTACCAGCAGTTTTGTAAATTCTATTGGATTTCCTACATTGAAAATCAATGACATCTTCATATGAAGATAGTTTCACTCATTCCTTTTTAGTCTGGGTGCCTTTTATTTCTTTTTCTTGCCCAATTTCACTGTCTAGACATCTGGCACAATATTGAATAGAAGTGGTGAGAGTGGACATCTCTATGTTGTTTCTGATGTTACAGGAAAATCATTCAGTCCTTACCCAGCGGGTGTGATGTTTGCTGTAGATTTTTCATAGTGCCTTTACCCACTGTGGAAATTCCCTTCTGTTCCTAGTTGCTGGGAGCTTTATATTAGGAATAGACATTGGATTTTGCCAAATTCTTTTTCTGTGTCTATTGAAACTATCACATATTTTTTTCCTTTTTAGTCTGTTAATATGGTGAGTTGTGTTGATTTTCAAATATTAAGCCAATCTTGTATTCCTGGGATGAATCCCACTTGGTCATGACATACTATCCTTTTAACATATTGTTGAATTTGATTTGATAAGATTTTGTTTAGAATTTTTACATCTATGTTCGTGAAGCATTTTGGTCTGAGGCTTCATTTTCTTATAATGTCTTTGTCTACTTTTGGTTCATACAGTGTTTTTAATCTACTTTCTTCCACTGATAAACCACAAATATATTTTCATATCCATAGGTACATTTTTGCAAAGTTTGGGGGCATTATAGCATTTTATTCAGGATGAATCGTAATTCAACCTAATGTTGTCTGTTTCCAACTTTTTACTATTACAAATAACACAAACTCTCCTTTTGCATAAATTTTTGCAAACACCAAAGATTCTTAGGATAAATTCCCAGTGAAATTAGTGGGTCAGAGGGCTACCCATATATTGTAAAATTGTCCTTCAGTAAAGCCATAACAATGTATACTCCCATTTGCAGAGTATAAGACTGTTTTTCAAAACCCTTCCCACAACTAAGTGCTGTTTTTAAAAGTAGGTCAGTAGTCCTTGTACATGACAAAATCCTGTTCCCCCACACAAACCTCTCAGCCCTTCCAGCCTAAATCAGCTCTAAGTGGCTTTAAGATATCTGAGAAGGAAATAAAAGATGATAGATAGATGATGATAGATAGATAGATAGATAGATAGATGATAGATAGATAGATAGATAGATAGATAGATAGATAGATAGATAGATGATGTCTTTTTAGGTAGGAAAGTCACCATAATGATGAAAGATCACTAAGAGATTTGTTTTTATCGTTAACCTACTTCTGGTATGCCCACATCTCCAGAGCAACAGGGTAACTTGCTGATGGAAAACCAATTTTCACACATGTGGTTAAAGGATAATTATCTTCTTTTTTCCACTTTCAGAATGTCCAAGAAAGAAAAGCCCTTAACAATTATAGTCCAATCCCCAACTTCACAGATGGGAAAACTAAGACAGAGAGAGGGAGGAATTTGCCCAAGATCCCATAGGAATAAGCGGCAGAGCCAATGGTCAGATAAAATTACTGCTAAGTTCTATTTTGTTCTGTCTGTGGCTCTTCTACTTAGAAGAACATCTAACTAGAAAACCCTCTTCCCCAACATACACTTTTCTAAAGCTGATGCTTTGAGGGCAGCTACTGCCCATAGAGAAGACAATTGCTTTTGCATTTACAAATAATGTGTTGTCTCTGTTTCCAGGGATATCACAGGCAAATGGCATCCCTTTTCCCATTAAATGAAGCTGATAATATGAATGGCTGAATGTGGTTTTGGTTAGGAGGTACAAAAGACCTCCAAAAATATCCAAAGCCAAAAAAAAAACACCAAAAACCACACCCTGAGAGGTCTCAGTACTGACTTGCATCATCTACATTTCTCTTGGAAAGATAAAGAGGCCACCAATAAATAGAGAGATGTTGGGGTTTGATGAACATATATAATATCCAGAGTGGAAGCCAAGCTGGGGGTGGGAGGGAGAGCTATTAGAATAAAAATAAATAATGATGTGAGTGGACATCTGTGGAGTTGGTTATGGGATAGTTGACGGGTTGGGTCAACTCGTAGAGGGCTTGGTATGTTCCAAATACACACCCCAAAAGGCCCACGATGCTGATCAGGATGTCCTTTGCGATGGTGGCGCAGCTCGTGTCCTCCGGGTAAAAGGTGATGAGCTCCAGCAGGGGCGGGATGATCAGGGCCAGGGCGCTGCTGCTCACCGAGCTCGCCAGGGAGATGAACAGCTCCAGGCGGGGGATGATGATGGCCGAGACGCCTGCAGGGGACCAGGAATTTAGTCACCGAGGTTCCAAAGGGCGAGAAGGGAGCTCAGAAACAAACCACTTCTTTGGCGCCTTCTAATTCCACAGATGCCTGATAGGCCACCTGGAGAGGTGGGGAAGGAGCCCACTGTGGACCTGAGCAGGAGCTCAGGCGCTGCGGCTCCGGACTCCCACCTCTGTTTCTACCAATATAGATGCTCTCCTTTTATGTTTGAACTTACTGGGTTTTTCACATGTAATATTTATTGGAAGGGCCCCTCTACCACCTACCTCATTGTAGGGATGGGGAAATCTAGAGCTCTAGAGGGAAGTGAACGTGCCTGAGGTCACACAGCTTGATGAGAACCTATTAAAATGCCCAATCGAAGAGAGTGGATGGGAGCCATCCCATCAGAGGGAGGATGGATTTTCAACCACGAGAGTCTACCAGTCTCTCTCATTCTCTGATCGGATGTGTTGGAGCATTTTCATAAAGAGGTGATATTTTCTTCAAGATCTAGGGTGCTTTCCAGAACAGGTATCCACTCTCCTGTGCTGCCTCCCATTTATAAGAAAGAACTTGGTACACCTTAGGTACTCAACAAATGCTTGGCTCTTACCTGGGCACTGAATCTATGGTGAATAGGTACTAATCTACATAATATAACCACTGTCTAGAAGCAAGGATATAAAAAATGAGAGCTAGCTCGCTGCTGTCAGAATCTCAACCACTTGTTTTCTTACTCTTAAAAGGATCTGGAGCCCGGCCAGGCGTGGTTCAGCGGTTGAGCATTGACCTAGGATCCAGGTGATCAGGGTTCGATTCCCGGTCAGGGCACATGCCCGGGTTGGGGGGTAGGCAGCCGATCAATGACTCTCTCATCATTGATGTTTCTCTCTCTCTCCCCCTCCTTTCCTCTCTCTGAAATCAATAAAGATATGTTTAAAAATAAAATAAAATAAAATAAAATAAAACAAAATAAAATAAAAAAGGATCTGGATAATGAAAGAAGACATAAAACATGAAGACAGCATTAGGTTGCTCACTCCCCATCTCCTCTTCTATAAATACTCAAATCTCCATCTTTCATGCATGTGAACAAATTAAGGAAAACCTGTTCTGGAAAGCACCCTTACTAGTTTGCTGGTAAACCAGCTAATGTATACCTTCTCTGGGTAGGCAGTAGAGATTACTGTGATATTTTAATGTGGTAGTCCTGTTAAGCCCATTTTTCAGGTGGAAAGTTGAGGTCCGGGGAGGTAAAAGTGTGTTGCACAAGCTCACGAAGGAGGAAAGTGGCAGAGCCAATAATAGCGGGGTAGGTGCCAACGTGACTCCCAGTCACCACTTTGGGCAATGAGTGCCCTTTTGCCCTACTCACAGGTCACACAGACCATGGCTGTGCGGACAGACAGGTCTGCACACAGTGTCCAGCTCTCTGACACCTGGGAGGTGACGAAGGGGATGATGATCTCGGCTGGGACGTGGAACTGGAGGGCGTAGGTGAAGAAGATGCCAATGGAGTACATCAGCTTGACCGACTGGTACAGCCTGCGGAGGGACGGATAGGATGTGAAATGGGACATGGCTCCTGGGCAGGGCCATGCAGGACTCACTCACTGCTCAGAAGCTGGTCGTTGTCACTGAGTTACAGAACTGCCTAACTTCCAACGACTCAGGCTGGATCCACCATCAGAGCCACCTGCGAAGCTTATTAAAAGCCCAGCTAGGCGCGGCTCAGCAGCTGAGTGTCGACCTAGGATCCAGGAGATCGCGGTTCGATTCCCGGTCAGGGCACATGCAGGGTTGTGGGCTCGATCCCCAGTCGGGGGCATGCAGGAGGCAGCAGGTCAATGACAACTCTCTCATCATTGATGTTTCGGTCTCTCTCCCTCTCCCTTCCTCTCTCTGAAATCAATGAAGATATATATTTTTTTTAAAAGTGCACATCCCTGGAGATTCTTTTTGAGCAGGTCTGTGGCTCGAAATCTATGGGTTTTTTTCTTTTCATTTTTAAAAAGGTCTATCTGCATAGAGTAAAATTCATAGCACTAAAGTCATACAGTGAAAAACCCCCTTCCCGCCTTGATTCGCAGTTTCTGGTTTCTCTTTCCATAGGCAATCCAATCCCTCTAACAGTTTTCTTGTGGCCCTTCCAGAAATCAGTGGATCTATAAGGTTATATAGAATATTGGTACACACACACACACACACACACACGCAGCAGCATCCTCTGCACACCACTGGGCTCCGTTTTCATTCATTAAATATTCCTTGGAGGTTGCTCCCTATGATTACACACAGATCTGGCTCTTCTGTGTAACAGCTGCTTGGTATCCCAATTGCATGGAGATACTGTAGTTCTTTAACCAGTCTCCAATGAGTGGATATTTAGATTCTTCCTGGTTTTGTGCCAGTAAACAGTGCTGCCAAGACTTCCTTGTACATATATCTCTGTGCGTATGGAGTACAATCCGGGAGTAACAATGCCGGGCACAAGTATATGTGATTTCCTATTGTGATAGCTGTTGACATAGTGGCCACGTGTGGTCCTAGTCTCTGGAGGGCTGGTTTCCACAACCTTGCAAAACTGTGTGTGAACACACGCTGGGCTTTGCCATTGGGTTTTTAAAAAATTGGCGTTTCTGTTATGAGGGAGACATAGCATTTTTAATAAATATATAAAATGCCATTTGGGGGCATTTGTCTGTGAACTGTGTCATCGTGGCCATTTTTTCTTAGGTTGTTGGTCTCTTTCTTATTAGGAAGGGGTACTTATTGATCCCTCTTGAAGGCTGCTCTGGAGAATCTCATGACCAGCCAGGTTTAGAGCAGGTGTGAAGGCCTCATGGCACCCGATGTCCATGAATGAATGCATAAATGAATGAATGACTGAATGTAAGAACTCCAGACCGAATTCCACGGGGGCACAGCCATGGCAGCCTCGGCCAATTTCTGGAATTGGGGACCTGAGAAGCTGTCCTGCGGAACCCTGAATGATTACTCTGGAGTTATACGTTTTATCATTGCTGTTTCTGTTTTCCTAACACTCCCGATCTTTCCTGTTTTTAGGGCCTTTGAGCCATAGAGTCAGGCAGATTCAGTTTCAAGTAACTGGGAGAGTTACTTACCTCTCCAAATATCAACTTCTCCACCTATTAAATGGAATTGATCATAAGAATGCTAACTCATAGTGCCGTCGTGAGAATCAAAGGAGATAACACACAGTGCCTGGATTATCAAATTTGCCTGTTGTTATAAGGCAAATGCTAGCAGTTAATATTTGTTGCTAATAATAACCCAAGGAAATGCCACATTCTGTTGCTAAGACTCAGAGCCCATGACCCTCTCCTCCCCACCCTGGGTGGCGGGGACGTACCAGCAGTTGGGCAAGTTGAGGGTGATGCTGGCCTGGGTGTTCGACCCGAACTTCATGTAGCCGAATGACCCCAGGCAGATGAAGAGGAGGATGACAAGGGACATCCCCACGTACAGAACAAAAGAAAACCACTGTGGATGCTTCATCTGGTTTTGGAGAGGCAGGACCTGGCGCCAAAGGAGGTTGTAAAAGGAAAGGTAAGAAGAGGTGTGACACCTTGCGACAAAGCAGGTTCCCCACAAAGCACAGACATCCTTTTGCTGGTGGCCCGGGTAGGGAAGGGCCCTCTGCACATGGCCATGCCCCCTTCCCTTTTCCTGCACGCTCTCTATGGCCCGCAGTGCCCTCTCGCTCCCTCCGGGCTGATGCGTGAGTTCTCGCTCAATCTTCAAAGCTTAGTGCGGTGCGTGGGGCAGCTGGTGTCCTGAGATTGGGTCCTGACATTCCCTTCCACCAACAGAAAATCCTATTCTGCACTTTTCATAAGTACTATTATTTGCTCATCTGGGACAATGACTGGCTTCCCTCGAGAGCACTAGGGACCCTTCACTCAAACCCCACATCAATCTTACCATGCCGACGCCTTCAAATGTGAAGACAGCTGTACCGAAGAACAGCAGGAAGTTCTCCCAGCTTGCCATCAGGGGTAGGTTGCTGGGATCTGGGATCTCCTGAAAGGAAGGAGAAGAAAGGCATTGGCTTTGCCATGGCACAGAAAATCGTGGCCGGACAGAAAGCTGGGCCACACCTGACATCCACAGAGACAGTATTAGGCGCACCCACAAGATATCTAGAATTGGTCAGCCCTCTCATCTTCTAAAAAGTTATTTATGTCCGCGTGGTGTGGCTCAGGGGTTGAACGTTGACCCCTGAACCAGGAGATCACAGTTTGGTTCCTGGTCAGGGCACATGCCCAGGCTGCGGGCTCGATCCCTGGTGGGGGGTGGTGCAGGAGGCAGCCGATCAATGACTCTCATCATCAATGTTTCTCTCTCCCTCTCCCTTCCTTTCTCTGAAATCAATAAAAATATATTTTTTAAAAAAAGTTATTTATTTTTGTTGTGGTAAAATACACATAGCGTAAACTTTACAGTTTTAACCATTTCTATGTGTACAGCTCAGTGGCATTAAGTACATTCGCATTGTTGTGCACCCAACACCACCATCCATCTCTAAAACTTTTTCACCTTCCCAAACTGAAACTCTGTCCCCGTTAATAACTCCCCATTATCCAGCCCCCTGGCCACCCCTATTCTACTTTCTATCTATGAATTTGACTATTCTAGGTACCTCATGTAAGTGAAACCATATCAAATTTGTCTTTTTGTGATGGCTTATTTCATTTAGCATAATGTCTTTAAGGGTGATCCATGTTGTTCCATAGATCAGAATTTCGTTCCTTTTTAAGGCTGAATAACATTTCATTGTATTGTATGCATTTACCATAGTTTTGATCCACTCATCATTGATGGGCATTTGGGTTGTTTCTACCTTTTGGCTATTGGGAACCCTCTCATCTTTAAATGTGGGACCCAGGGAGGAGAGGGGAATTGCCCGAAGCTAAGATAAGAATCCCAGAGAAGAATCCCAGCCTCCTATTTCCCGGCTCTCTAATGCCTCTACCCCATCACTTCCCTCGCAGCTGTGCAGTCTGCTGACTGGTACAGCAGCTATCACGGATCTAGAGGGAACAATGATTTTTAATGGACTCCTGGGGTGGGCAGAGTCCTGGACCCCCCAAAGATGTCCATGTCCTAATCCCTGCAACCTGTGAATGTGTTAAGCTCCATGGTAAGGGAGAATTAAGTGTTCAGAGTGAATTAAGGTTGCCGATCAGCTGACCTTAAAATAAGGTGATTATCTGGGATTATCTGGGTGGGCCCAGTGTCATCACAGGGTCTTTAAAAGTGGAAGAGGGAATGAGTCCGGAGAACCAGAGAGAGATGGTTGCATGAGAAAGCCTCGGCCTGACATCATTGTTGGCTTTGAAGATGAGCCAAAGGCATGTGGGCAGGGAAGCCTCTAGAAGCCCAAAAAGATAAGACAAATTTTCCCCGTAAGTCTCCAGAAAGAAAGAACCCTGTTGACAACTTGATTTTAGCCCAGGGAGACCTCTAGGACTGTAAGATAAATTTGTGCTGTTGGAAGCCACTAAATGTGCGGTAATTTGTTACAGCAGCAATAGGAAACTAATACACCCACAAAGACTTTCAAAGAACCGAAGCCACAGTGGTGGGGTTTCAGGGCCTGTGATGACGGCACAGCACGGCCTGGAGAGGCAGACTGACTGGAATTAGCGGGAAAGCTACCTTCTGTTCCTCAGCTCCCTTGTCTGTAAATTGAGGATAAAAGTAGCACTTCCAAAAGAGTAACACTGTGAAGACATGAGTTAATATATGGAAAAAACTTGGCACAAAGTAAATCAAATTACTTTATTCTCCACGTATCCCTTGTCTACCGCTGTTACAGTTCTTGTCGATTATCTGATTGCAGTTTTTCTCCCAAGTACTTTAATGTGACTTCAGCGAGAGCAGACACCCTGTCAGTTTTACTGATCACTGAATCCCCAGCCCTTTGCACAAACCCTGGATCACAGACCGTATTCAGTAACTGTTTGTTATCTAGTGTGACGACAGCGATGACGATGATGATGACAACTGCTTTTATAGCTTGTGGTATAAGTGTTCAGAGCTTAAAAACAACACAAAGCCCCGGCCAGTGTGGCACAGTTGGTTGGGCATCATGCTGGGCACTGAGGGGTTGCCAGTTCAATTCCCAGTCAGGGCACATGCCTGGGTTGTGGGCTCTGTCCCTGGTGGGGGGCGTGCAGGAGGCAGCTGATCAGTGTGTCACTCTTGCAGCAATGTTTCTCTCTCTCTCTCTTCCTCTCTCTAATAAATAAATAAATAAACAAACAAACAAATAAATAAAAAAATAAATCCTTAAAGGAAAAAATTCAATAAAAAATCTTTTTAAAAAAAGTGTTCACAGCCTGGCCGGTGTGGCTCAGCAGATGAGCATCGACCTAGGATCCAGGAGGTCACAGTTCGATTCCCGGTCAGGGCACATGCCCAGGTT